CACACAAAAACACAAACACAAACACACACACACACACACAAACACACAAACACACACACACACAAACACACACACACACACCCACACACGCACACCACACACACAAACACACACACACACACCATACGACACCACGCACACACACACACCACACGCACACACACACGCACGCACGAACGCACGCACGCACGCGCGCACGCACACACAACCACACACACACACACCCACACCCACACACCCACACACGCACGCACGCACGCACGCACCTCCCCCCTCTCCACACACAAACACACACACACACAAACACACACACACACACACACACCCACCCACCCACCCACGCACGCACGCACGCACGCACCTCCCCCCCCACACACAAACACACACACACACACATCCACCCACCCACCCACCCACCCACCCACCCACCCACGCACGCACGCACGCCCGCCCGCCCGCCCGCCCGCCCGCCCGCCCGCGCGCGCCCGCACGCAGGCACGCAGGCAGGCAGGCAGGCAGGCAGGCAGGCAGGCACGCAAGCACGCGCACACACGCGCACACACGCGCACACACACGCGCGAACACGCGCGCACGCGCGCACACGAGCACACGCGCACACGCGCACACACGCACACGCGCACGCACACGCACGCACGAACGCACCCACACGCACGCACCCACCCACCCACCCACACGCACGACGCACGCACGCACGGACGCACGCACCCACACACACACACACACACACACACACACACACACACGAACGCACGCACACACGCACGCACGCGCACACACACACACACATGCATGAATGACACGGCCAGAGGGTACCCTCGCACCAGTCCCGTTGAAGTTTCTCCACCCTGGGTGCACTCAACTTCTGCAAACTCAGCTTGCACGCCAGATCTCGGCCGGAATTCTCACTCTGAATGGATCTCGCAGGGCTCCCAATATTTCCAACCTTACAACATCACCCCCACCAAGGAATACTCACCTTTCATGGGTTAAATTTGCTGGTAGTCAGTAAGGAATGAGGGAATGAGGGAATGACCAGGACCAAAGCCTGGGTTTATTCCATTCCACATTCCCCACCGATTTCGCAGAAGAAAGTAGGTGATGTTTAAGCCACCAAAAAGTGGGAACAGGAATCGGCCGCCAGCATCTCATTCCAAGCCCCGGACTTGCGAAAGCGCGACAGCAGCCATCTCAGCCACCAGACCTCCAGCGAATTGTTTTGGCCGGGCGGACAGCTCCGTCCACTTTGAGGCGTGTCACCAGACTTCGGATGGTTTCGCGAAATCCATTTCGCACCTAAACCCCGGTTTCTGATGAATCCCCTAGGATTTCCTGCATCCACAGTAGTATTGAAAAACGTACTTGGCGCATGGCCATGTTCTGTTCAACACAGAAGCTAGAAATGACACATGAACGGATGCGAAGACACATCAAGGCTCCCTTTGCCGGAGAGCCATTTGCGTGTCTGCAGTATTGGCGCCACTCAAGCCGAGAGGGAGATCCTATAACCCATGCTCTCCATCAACCACTGTTCTACTGGTTGGGGAGTGACGAAAAGAAGCATGTTTCAAGTAACGTCCAAGTATGTCCAAGTAAACACATGCAATTCCACATGTAGCTCCTGCTTAAGGCCCAGACCAGTCAAAAGAAATAGAGTCACCACAGGTCACTCGGGCAACGATGCCCGCTCACAGTTGTTGAAGGTCCAAGTAAACATCGCTCGAGGACAAAACGTTGTCTTTAGGTGCATCCGGAGGACAGTACCAATTGGGGTTAGCACCCCTTCATTGTACGGAAATTGCTATGAACTACTTTTTGTCGGGTTCCCGACTAGTACAGCGCTAATATACTAGGTCCTCCAGTAGAGCGGTTAAAATACGGGAACCAACTTTTTTCTGTAGTCTATTTTACTAGGGCAACCCTCCCCCCCAAAAAAAAATGGTAAAAGGGCACCTAGCTGGGGGACCTAGTATACTAGTGCTAGTGAACAAAATCCTTGACAACGTCCTTTTAAAACCAACAAGGGAATTTAACAAATAATATATCAGCAAATGGTTCACGTATCCACTTGCTAGGCGTGTCCTCTCTGAGGAGCTCACCGGGCCCTTTCTGGTCTCGGGCGCCGTGTCCTCCTGAAAAAAACGCGGCGCGAGCGGGGCGCGAGCCGGCGGGAAGGGACCCCTTGGACAGACCAACGTTCAACCCTAAGCTCAGGTAAGTCGTCCATTTGCGTTTTCGCCCCCTGGAAGAAATGAGAAGAGTTTTTCCAGTAGTGAGAAAGTCACTCTAAAAACAAGAGGGGCTTAAAAATAAAATAATATATATATATATATATATTCTGCAAATGGTTGAGATAATTTATTCAACGCTTCGCTTCCTGACACAACAAAATCCCGCGGAAGTCATTCCATCCACTGGACCTTGGGAGCGGATTGGCCACGTTTCAAGGGTCATGGAGACTCCGGGTACGCCTCAATTTACCCCCTCAAAACCACCCACTGGGTAATACTGGGTATGGGTCAAAATGAGTCAAAAAACCAGGAAATGGGCCGCAGGCTTTGGTCCATGTTTCCATTTACAAGGTAGCTTGCCATTTTGGGGTTACCATTTTTTTGACAACCACAGCCAATTAGAACTCAGGTGAGTAAAATAATTTTTCACCTTCAATCTGATGACCAAACTCACCCGTTCAATTTATCTGAACGTTGTCGACAATCAAAATCTTAGCAAGGGGCACATACACAAGCTGTCACCAAGCTGGACCTGGGGAGATGTGCCGAAGCCGGAGCTGGAGCTTGCGAGGTGCACGGATATGAATCCAGGCAAAGTAACGCGACCGCGCTGGGGGCTGCAAACTCATCCATGAAGGGTCTGCTTACGGGCCCATCGTTTTAGGCTGCTCAATAATCGTGTTCCCATAAAATGGGGGAAGCTCCAACTGCTCAGCTTCCCGGTGCTTTCAATTGAACAAGACATAGATAGGTCATTTAGAACCCTGGAAAACTAAGTGCCTCCTTGCACCTGGGATAGCAGTTCGTACACGGAGGAGTACTACAGATGCTTCCAAAAACTATTTCTCGTCCTGACAGGAAACATGTGAAGGCAACATGGAAGCAAGGAAACAACACCGCGCTGGCAGTTCTAAACCATTTCTGAGCAGCACTGAGCAGCCACAAATCAGTACATCTAGATAAAGGCTTGGATATGGCTTTTGTGGATTAATCCCTGTAGAATATACCAGTATAAAAGCTTACTAAAAAGGATCAACAGAGAGGAACAACTGGTGAAATCCACAAAAAAGCGCATCCAAACCGATTTCTAGAGTACATACTAGAGCAACGTCAAGCCAAGACTAAGCAGTACGCACCACAACTTGTCTTCTAGTGATTCGTTTCAAATCTCCCGCCAGAATCAATGGTCCCAGAAAGCAGTCAATTCACTTGGAGCAGTTCTCTTGGGTATGTGTTTCGACACACGTGCAGCGATCTGTTTGCCATGAGTTGCCTTCAAGCAAACAATCTGACCTGCGGTCGCAAGCCAACATTGTCATACCATTTTGGCCATGGAGGCTCCTAAGACAAATCCAGAGGCGAAAAAAGAAGCTCCACAGGCAAACCTCTCGGTGAACTATGACAAGTCACTTCAACGAGGGAGTTTCCAAGAAAGGCAACTTCACGGGTAAGAACCAAAGTGGAACCCAGTGCTGATCTGCTTTGGGTTGTCCTTAGAAACCTACCAGTGTTTCTCGGAAAAAAAATAATAATTGCTTTTCCTCCTAAAATTGGACACGGCGCCCAAAGTCAACGAAAGGTTATGTTGGTTCCATATATTTACCAGCCTCAAAATATTGCCATATAGTGTTGGGCTCCATATACTTGGCTCCACATTATACCGGCCAAGAAACAAACAGCAAACACACACGCTTAAGGACGCCTCTGGCACCAAAGCACTCCTTCGGTTCTGGTGGTGCTGGCGGCGCCGCCGGCGCCTCTGGCGCCGGGGCGGCTGGCGCCGGGGCGGCTGGTGCCGGGGGCGCAGGCGGCGGGGGCGGCGCCGGCAATGGCTGTGAGTCTGGTATAGACTTCGGCGCCCGGCCTGGCAAAAACCGATGGGTTCCACTGATTGAACATGAAGCTCAGAGTGCCATCTGTTGTGCGCAACCGCAATGGTTGGATGTTCAGGTGCGCAGGGATATTAATATGTTACATAATGAATAGATACACACGTGTACATAGTTGCTACGTACACATCGTCACTCCCGTCTCTTCACTTTAGAGTTGCTCACATGCTTCTGTACTGCACGTGGACCCTTATATAAGCGCATGGTTGTTTTGTTTGCCAATATCATATGGCTGTGCTGCTCATTGCGCACCAATATAAATTGTTTACACTATGAGACTGAACACGAAGCCGGTTTGACTTCTTGATGAGCCTTCACTCAGAAGATAGTATCGACAACTTCCGTTTCAAACAAATACGTGCTTCTGGCGAATCAGCCTTGCCGTGATGCCAAAAGGTTGTCCTTCCCCTCCATATCTTGTTACGCGTCTTTCCCAGAAAGTTTTGGAGCCGAGTTCGTTTTCCCTGCCTGGCTCGAAGCGCTCGCCTACTCGCTCCCCCAACTGCTGCACGGACCGCGTCACGGACGCTGGCCTCAGCGCCGCGCAGAACGACGTGCCGCAAGTCTCAGGTAGGCGCACCGCGCGGCTCAAGCTGAAGCTCATTTGTGAAAATGAATCCCGGAGCTAAACCTCTAATGCCCAGTGACCATGTTGACTTTAAAGGGGAACCCTTCCCCCACAAAAAAGGAAAAAAGGGCGCCACTGGGCAAGTGGGTAACAGCACCATGTGCCAATGGCTGCTCCTGATGAATCTCAAGTGCATCACTCTTGCAAAACAAAAACGACTTCAGTAAGCAAGCCATAAGCACCAAAAACAAGGATGTGAGCGCTCGTAGTGCGATTCAACTACTCCAAAGCTCGCAGTCATCCAAAGGAGTCTCTTTGCCAAGCAGATCGGGTTGTTTGTCCACTCGCTGGTGGATTTGCGCCAAACCTGTCCATCCATGTGGGCCTGAGTCAAAATGGGGCGAAGGTTCACAAACAAACACACCCACACACACAACCACAAAAACACACAAACCCATATTCTGCTCATTTGAGTTACAATCAAAACCCGGTATGAAAATGGTCTACCCAGAACCATGTAAAGAATTAAGAAGGCGGCCACAGCTATTCCCGGCTGGGACTGCCCCTTACAAACTTTCATCTACCCGGGTTTTTGATTGTGGCTCATTTGGGGGTGGGCCAAAATGAAAGAGCAAGGGTTGCGCAGGTTTTAGTCTTTGGCTCCGTTTGCCTTTTGGTGCCATTTTGGTTCATGCTTCTGAACCACAGACATTCGCTTCCTGGAGCTGGCCCCACGCACACCATTCTAGGGGTAACTTCCCCATTCTTTCCAGGGATCCTTCTTTCTAGAAAACCACCAAAGACCCTGGGGAAATGGCTGGTTTTTGAAAAGAACAATGGCTGAAAAGAATGAAAAAGGAATCAAGCCCTAGAACCATGGCCCTTTTTGCTGGCGCCAAATCCTCTGAGCTTTGCCTGGCTCGCTTGATGCGAGACTCTCTCAGAGCCTCCACCTCACGCGTCCAGGGATGATCCGCTCCAACCTGCATGGCTCGAACAAAGCTGCGTAGATGATCCACCTAGACGTTAACTCGGTTGATTGCTGCTCCGCTGCAAAAAGCTTAACTTTTAGTGGTTTAATGGAAGATCAAAGGGATTTGATTTCGCTACTGGACAAGTGTTCTCATTTTTTCAAGGGGACGTATTCGCAAATGGAGGATGGCGTTTCCCTTCCGGATCAAGAGGAATCCTTGGCATGGGGAGGTTGACACACATTTGTTTTCGGACGAGAAGCGGTAGATCTTAAGGAAGCCACATGTTTTGGGGGGGTCATGTTGAGGAGACCAAGGTATTATTATTTTTTGTCGGGCATCTAATGTCTAGGTGCATTTTGCTTGCATGTTAGGACTTTAACTTTTTGCCAACTAATGGGTCGGACAATAACACATATTTATTTCAACAAATGGAAGACGTCGTGTTTTCAATGGCCCTGCGATCAGAGCGCCTCACGGAGAGCCGTCTTGCTGTTCCACCCGGGCGCTGACAGCAATTGGACCAAAGCAGCTGATCAAGCTACAGACTAGGGCGTTTCACCCGGAACATGTCACAACATCCGACGGGCAGACAAACAGACAGACAGGACAGGACAGGACAGGACAGGACAGGACAGGACAGGACAGGACAGCACAGGACAGGATAGGACAGATAGACAGACAGAAAGACAAACAGACAAACAGACAAACAAACAAACAAATAAAGAAACACAAATCAAGCAAAACAAGCAACACAAATCAAACAAAACGAAGCCAAACCAAAGCACAATCACACACGCAACACACGTATCCCAAAATTATGGAAGGAACACTGCTACCCCAGTTGGGGAGAAGTGAATCGCCAGTCCACTGTATCCGGTTGCCTACCGGTCTGCCATCTTGTAACAAGCTTTAGGGTCAACCGATGTCACCCATCCAGAAATATAAAGCAGGTCCGACCAAGGCAAACCAAACAGCGCCCACGCTTTCATTCTCTTGCGGGTGCGACAGATAGGGAATGACAGAGCCCGGGTGTTGGGGATGAACCGGAAGGGGGTTCCCTCAAACCATACGGGAATGGCTTTTCTCGGGGTCATTCCATTTCTCCTTCCCTGCTCATTTCACCAGCAAGTTATTGGGGCTCGACATCCTTAGAGCAACACTAGTGCCAACCGAAAGGTCCAATGCAAACAGAGCTCTTTGGTCCAATGCTGGGCTGTCCGTTTTCCGATCCCCTGCTCCAGGTTTACCTCCTGGCTGAGAAATCGAAACCCCAAGCCCCGAAAACTTCAAACAGAACCTAGGGGCACGGCGAAGCGCGAAGCGCCAAGTTAAGCACCCAGAAGGCTGCGAGAAAGCAGCCTCAACGGATTCCGCTTTGGCTCGTCGCTTTGGCTCTGCCAATGTGGGGCTATTGCCCCATACACCACAAATAGGGAGTTTGCTGGGTGTTCTCGTCCTCTCCTGGGATGTGCAAAATGGGATCCCAATACAAGGGAAGGCATAACCATCTGGCAACCTAACCTCCGCCCCGGGAAAAAGGGGGGGGGGGGTTCGGGTTCGGGTTCAGGTTCGGGTGTGGTACCTCATGCCCAATACCGACTTTATACAAGTGGACCTAATACCGACTTTATACCAGAAGACCCAATAGCGATGTCTACCGAAACGGGCTTCCCCCCCCCACCGAGACTTCTCGCTTCCCCGCCTCGCGCTCCAGGATGCTGATCGCCCGCTGTGCCGCCCTCGCACGCTCCAAGCTGCCCGGAGGATTCGCCAGCGCCAGGTGCCGCAAGGTCTTGGCCACTTGCAAATGCTCCTGACTTGACTTGCCTAGGTCCTCCAGTGGAGAGGTTGCCGACTTTTTTCCTGTAGTCTATTTTAGTAGGGGAACCCTCCTCCCAGAAAGGGCAAAAGAGCATTCCCTTTGAAACCAGCAGGGGAAAATAAAAAATGTTCTTAAGCAAATGGAAGCATAAATGCTCCTGGCTGCAAGTGGCCATGGGTCAAAAGCCAAATCGTACCCCCAGTGAACATCCCAATCCCGACTAAAATAGGTTCTAAAATGGGTGGTGCACCCAAAATGGGATCCCATTGGTTTTGACCCACAGCCAAGTGTCCAAACGCTGCGAGGACATGTGAGAAGCAGTTCAATTCGCCTGCCAGGGAAGTTGCCACATTAGCATTCTTGTTTAATCCGCTCTGCTTTCTCAAGATTGCTCAACCCGAACCCCTGCTGTCTCCACTTGCGGATCGGTCCAATGGCGCTTAACACACTTGCAAGGACCTTGTGCATGCGTTGCCGAAATGTTGTGCAACGTGATGAAAACATGGTGCATACAATGTTCACATTCAATTTCACGTGCTGAGTTGCGTAAGCAGTGCCCTTGCTATTATTTGTTCTTGCTGCACCGCATATGGCTCCCCTATGGACAGCTCCACCAGAGCTTGCAGGATGGCAGCCTCTTGCAAAAGCCAAGCTCATGGATGAATGATAGAACTCAGCTGAACCGCTGCTCTTTGAGATGCTATCAAGACTCCTCTCTCTCTCTCTCTCTCTCTCCCTCTCTCTCTCTCTCTCTTTTTCGCATATCAATGTGTCACATTCATTCTAGGGCGTCTTCTTTCAGGTTCCTTCCACTTGAAGACGCCATCTTCCCCTTCCGCTTCACTTGGCCCAAATCTGGAGTACGCCAACTTCATATCTTCAGATTCTGGCCCAGAAAGTCGACCCGATAATCAACCCCAGTTTATTGATAGGCGCCAACAGTGGTCTGATTCCCCACATTTCACCCAGGAAAAAACACCTTTAAAAAAATGTGTGGTGATTTTTATGTGGGGTCCCTGGGCCCGGAAAACAAAGGTGGGTTGGTTGCTTCGTACATCTCAGAATCCTTTTCTTCTTCTTTTTGGTCTACCCGTCTGCATTGGAGACCCCCAGATCTCCACCCGCCTTCCCCAAGTGCCGCTGGAAGATGTCCAGCGCCTTCTCCAGCACCGCCCGCGCTTCGCAGGAGGCGTCGGTAGCGAGGAGTGCCATGCCCTTGCACCGCAGTGTCCTGGCGCGAGCCAAGCGATCTCCATATGGCTGTGGTCGTTTTGGGATCCCATTTTGGGGTAGGTGAATTCACCCATTTTAGTCGAGAATCTAGTGGTTGGATTGGGATGTTTGGGTTTCCTGGATCTTGACCCATGGCCATCTGAAGAACGGCTGGGAGTTGCGGCTTCATGTTTGTCCTTTTTTGTTGTTTCTTCACCCTGCTGGTCCTTTTTTGCGAATCGCTTGCTGGATCCACAGATTCGCCACATCCAAACCGTGTTCTAGACATCGACATTTCAAACAGCAATCCCCGTGACCCGATAGGTAGAAAACTTGGGCTCCTGTTTGGTTGGCAGTTCACATGTTTATTACCAAGAAAAAAGGGAAAGACGGGTGCCACTAAACCGTCGCCAATCCTGGGTCGCATGAAACAGTGAAACGCTTCGTGAACAAAATGAAGATCGTGGGCTCATCCTTTTACCACTTGGGGCGGTCGTGGGGCAAGTGTCCAAAGTTCAAGCGCATGTGAGAGGTGACCAGGTACATGTCGGAGGTATGGAGAAATCGTTCCAGGGCTTGTTCCAGAGCTCAAGGGAAGTTGGATGGATCTTGACTCACTTGACAGCTTATTTGTTCATTTCAGAAGCCACGTTAATGGGGTCATGTGAGTGCGTCCGAAATAAGGAATAGGATACCACCTTTTCACCGGTTGCGGTAGTTTTGGTTTCCCTTGTTTTGCTTCAACTGGGCCCCGTCCATCCCTTGGCTCCCAGAATATGGCAACCTCGCCTTGAGAAACATTTTTCGTTCGTCAATATTAGCCCACTTAGGCCCTTCATGCGGCCCCTTCAGGCCGAACAACACCATATGACACCAAGGAAGGGCTCAATCTCTGTCACCAATGGCTCGTCTTTTGGCTATGGACAACCAATGGGCCTCTCAAAGTCCAAGTAAATCACACCACGCCGGCTATGCAATCGTCTGGGGTGCGAAACGAACACACGAACGACCCTCACTCCTTGCCAGCTCAATGTGATCCTCTCCAAAGCCTGACCAAAGGGGAAGAAAAATGCTGCTACCAGTTGGATCTGTTGGCAAGTTCCTACTGGCCCCAAGACAGCATCAGGTGCGATCGGCATTTTTTCATTTTTTCTGCTGTCTTCATGCCAGTTTCATATTGGCAAAGGGATCCAAAGATGGGACCATAACGTTGACCACCACTCTTGCGAATGCAGTTTGACGATCCCAATAACATGGTTGGCTGTCTTTTGAAGGGTACCCTTCTCAGGGTTTCACAGGGAAATCAGAGACAAACCCAGGACACCATCCTCTTAAGGCATGCATGGCATGCATGTAGCAAGACTTGCATGTTTGTAGTGGCGAGTTCCGCTTTTTGCTTTGGGGGTCAAATGGAATCGCACTGCCTTAGCCCCGCCCCTGTGGACCTACAGGCAGTACCGGGGGCGGGGGGGGGAAAACAAAAACGTGGAGAGTGCTCCCCCGTGCAACCCCATGCTGCAGGGAAACAGCTCTTTTTGGATGGCCATGTAAGAACCTGCCGGGCGAAAACACGGGAATGACTAACACACAGCAGCGTGGCTATGTCCCTCACAGCCCAAGTCCCAGTCTCAAGTTGTTGCTTCGCGTGGAACCAGATGGGACCTCCCATTCCACTAAGCACGGGGTGCTTTCTTTGAGGTGGGTGGTTTGTTCAAAAAGAGAACCCGAAACATTGTTGGCTGTACTCGCGTTCGCTCTTTGCAAAAAGATAGCGCTAACCCTGAATTAATCAACCTGTCGGATTAGCGGGATTCACTGGGGTGCGCCACTCCCCGCAAACAACAAAGCATCCCCTCCAGTAAACTGAGCGCCCTCCCAAGAAATCATCAACCACGAGTTCATTAACCCACGGTTCACATAAAACCCCAACTGCTGACTTCATCCTTTTTAGGGCAAATAGATGCAAATAGATGGCCCTGGTAGATGATTAAACCATCCATTTTTCTACCAAAGCAACCAAAAGGACACCTCTCCCAGTTTTCTGTGTGTCCCAAACGCCGACCCACTTTTCTCCGTGAAGCCGCGGGCCTCTCCCCCCCCCCCCCCGGCGGCCCCCGGCGGCCGGGCAGCACTGCGCTTGGATGCGCGCTGCGCGGGCCAGGAGCTCGAGGCAGCCGGGCTCGCCCAGCTCGGCGCCGGCGGAGCCCAGGCCTGCAGAAATAACGTATGTGTGGGAACAGCCCTTCACCTTCACTAGGTCCAGTAGAGAGCTTAGAATAAGTTCAAGGGTACCCGATATTTCTTTTCTGTAGCCATTCTTTAGTAGGGGAACCCTCCCCCAAAAAAGAAAGGGTAAAAGGGCACTACTGGGGGACCTAGAAAAGGTACACAAATGTGGACCAGAATCTAACGATTTCATTTCTTGAGGATGACAGCGGATGAGCTCAACCCAAACTCCCAAGATGCTTGAGGTGAAACGAGCTCACCCTGAGAAGGACCTCTACGCGGGTAACATACAGATATGCATATATTTCTGTACGTATCAATGTATGTACACTGTCTATATATATATATATGTCTAGACAGAGAGTGAGATAGTTTTATATAAATATATGCATGTGTGTGTGGTGTTGGTGTGTGTGTGTGTAGTAATTATGTATCTATACAAGGGAGCTAGCCTAATATGCGAGTATGAGTGGCTATTAGAGGCCATTGAAGATCATCTGGCCTGGCCATCCATTCTTGCATGGCTTGTTCTGTAATGGCTCTGAAACAGTTACAAGCCCTTAATGCGGCTTAGTGGCAACTCCTAGGCTTATCCAAGGATACTGCCCAGGCAAGGGCTCCAGGGAGCGCAACCATGATGCAGCAGAAAGGAGTCAAAAAACCGATGACAGCGGCCACAATGATGGCAGAGAGTTGCCTTCAGAATGATCACCTCATGATCCAGAGTGACCAGCGACATTAGTTCCTCTGGCACCGCCAGAAACGTAGAATGGAACAATGTCAGAATCAAAACCCGGTACACAAATGGTCGACCCAGAACCATGCTTCAAGAATTAGGAAGGCGGATATTTGCAGCTATTTATGGCAAGGGGATCGTCCCTTGCTAATCTTCACTTACCCGAATCGGTTTTGAGGACGTGGCTCAATGAACCGTGCTCGCTATCTGAGACCTCGGGCGTGGATTCGACAAGCGACTTGATCTTTGAGGGAAACAGCCACTCTCTGTCTCAAGGATGTCTTACAAGCTGGTGTAGCTGTCACGCGCTGACTGTAAAACAAGCCAACATATAGCTCATACTGCATACCCTCACTAACAAGTAAAACTCCATCCCACGCCAAACTATCATTATTGTAATCATAAAGTTGCTGCCAACTGTGCAACCGACCCTCCAACAATTCAACGCATTCCCATTCATGTTGAAAGGTGTGGTTAGCCGCTTAAACATGCTTCAGCAATACACCTTCGCTTGGGGCCACCCCCACCTCCACTCTCCCTCAGAGTGTAGCTGTCTACTTGACGCCGAAACCCCCGAGACCCGCTTCTCACTCAACATATGGTACCAATATGTGGCTCCCTTCTTGGGGTTGGTTTAAATGGAAACCAAAGGACCCAGAAATAAAGGTTGACCTTTTGGGGTCATGACTAAAAGTGGACCAAATAGGGGAAACCAAAAGGTCAAAAGGTCGATTCGCTTTGGGCAAGTGAGTGGTTTAAAGGGAAACCAAAGGGAAACCCTTATTCATTGGTGGTCTTTAAAATGACAGACAGAAATCCCCGAACTTCCGTGCCTCTCAACACCATGGACACGTCCACATGCTCCGCACCCAGCTCCCTCTCGGCAATGCTCAGGGCGCTCTTGAACAAGTCGCGCTTCTCCTGAGCATGGCAGCATATGGGTCTGCGCTTGCTTGAGGCTACCCTTTCACCTTGGTTTAAAGGAGAACCAAAAGAAACAACAACCCATTTTGGCCCCCCTAATTTTGACACATACCTGTGGCTATAAATTTCGAAGGGAAACATCCTCAAAATGGTTGACACCCTTCCTTTTAGACCCCGGTAGAATTTCAGGACCTCAGGCCAGACATTTTGGGAGCACGGCTCACCTGGCGAGTATGGCTGTCCTGTCAAGAAACAAGGATCAGCAAGAAACCCCCGAAAGCATTTCTGCGAGAAGGCCTTCCGGCCCAAACTGTGTGTCGAATAGGGCTCAGGAAAAATACGACAAAGCCAATGCCCTTTTAATGTCCTGAGGACATGAACAAGTCACAAATTCAAGCATGTCTCATAGTGCCACAATTCACAAACCGAATACCCACACCGATATGGAACCTGAGGTTCGCGGGTGTTGCTTTAAAGGGACCCCCGATGGCACCATAGGTGGGAGATCAATCATCCCAGAGTCGAATTGCCGGGTGATGGTCCGAAATAAGACATGGAAACCAAAGATGACTTGCTCATGGGACAAGTTGCACCTACCCATTTCTCTTGCTCAGTTTCCACATGCACCTGCCAATGTCTCTTGCTCAGCCCCAAAAAGGTTTCATGGAGCTCGAGGAAGGAGCGGAAAATCTTCCGCGAGCTCTGCGACTTTCCGGCCTGCTGCCAAGAATATTGCTCAGCCCCCACATGTTTCATGGAGCTCGAGGAACGAGCGGAAATATTCCTGAACTCTGCGATTTTCTGGCCTGGAAGTTGCCCAAGCCGCCGGTGGCATTCGCCAAAGCGCAGAGAGGACCCAAAGTCTTCAGATGCGTCTCGCCGAAGGCGCCGCAACTTATCCTGGGCTGAAACCCCTGCGACCTGGTACCACGTGTATCCTTTGGATTCAACAACATCTCTGGTGGAAGCCACCTGGTACAGAGTTTTGAAAAAAGGTACGACTTCTTCGAAACCCTCCCCCCATGGAATTTGAGCAATGCCTCAAACGGAGGCAAACCCCTGTAGGGTCTCAACCAGCTTTGTTTCAACAACTTTTTTTGGCTTTCCCTTCAAAGGGGGCAGGGTCTGTTTGCTTTAACATGTTTACCCTCTTTCCAGCAACGGCAGGGACGGTATGGTATTGCAAGACTGCAATCCTCTTGAAAAGGCCGACACGTCCACTATGATTGCTGGAAGGAGAAACTCACTTGGGGAAGCCAAAGCCAACAGCTGCAACTTGGAAAGAAACACATTCCTTTGCAGGGGCCCGGGATGCTCCACTCTTGCACCCTTGCTAGTGGTGGGGATAGCTACAATATCCCGATTTGGAAAAAGAAACAACAAAACTCTGAAGCTCTAGCTTAAACGGTCGAGGCATGAACCTGGTGGTTTCAACAAAACCCAGCTTGTCGCGACGGTGATCAAGGGTGCTTGTGTCGCAGGTGCAGTTAGGGTTGGGGTCCTCGTAGAAGAAACGAAACTCCCGGAAGGCCTCAGCAAAACAAATCAGGCATCCTCAAAAGAAGACATGTCCAAGTAAGGACCCCCCTCTTTGGAACCTGTGTGTAGCAAGCTGTCACCACCATCCCAAAAAACGAACATGACTTTGCCGCATCGAGGCTCCGGAGGGCGCGCCGTGCCACGTCCCGCGCATCGTCCAGGTCCCCGAGCTCCGCGAGGGCGCTGGAGACAGCGCCCAGCGGGCCCAGCAACGCAGCGTGCTGTGCGCCGAAGTGCCGGGCCTTGACAACGGCCTTGAGGGGAAATGTGAGCACAAATGGCAGAACAAGAATATGTTCGGTGGGTGGGGGGGGGGTCATTTCTTCTTTTGTTTTGTTTTGTTTGGGGGGGAGGGGGGTGGTGTTTTGTTTGGGCGAGGGGTCCTCGAACCAATGACTAATCATTGCAGTCCATTGGACACACAAGTTTGTTTTCTTTCTGGTGGAGGAAGCTCCTGGAAGGATCAAGTATCAAGAAGGAAACTCATAAGCTGGCAACCCATTGGATGACACGAACAGCGTCTGGTTGCATTTAAGCGGAGGTTCAGCGCAACTGATAGATCAAACAACAAATGCCCAGGCCAGTGGAGGAAAGAGCCGGAGGTTTGTTTGGTCCAAGTGCTTGCCTTTGGAGCCTCTGTGAGATAGGGACAGGCAGGCCCCGACCCCAGCTTGAACAGCCCCGTGCCCAACAGAAGCCCCTGTTATGGGTCTGTCCTGAAGCTGCCTTTTCGAGGGTACCCTTTTTTGGTTCGTCTTAAGGGGAAGACCCAAAGGTAAACCACCATGGGGGTTGCCCAATTGGAAGACAAACCCATATTGCAAAACTGCCAAACCGAGAAAGGGCACATTTGCGGGGGGGGGGGGGGTTCTCTCTCAACAGTGTCCAGGTTTCGACTGATTTGGAGGCAACTGTGTGGCCCTCCCTGCAGAGTACGGCAACAACTCCACCCTTTTTGTGTAATTTGCATGAGGGCACAATTTCCACTGCAGCGCTTGCGTTTGAAAGCTCGAGCACAGCGGAATCAATGGGGTTGCCGCCCACTCTGAAGGGGTGAACTTGACTTTCTGGCTCTCAGTCGGGAATCAGCAGGGTTTGGGGAATTCCGGGGAGTCCATTCAAAAGCACAAAGCACTCTCGGGGTGCAAGAACAAAGGCGCCGCGCCTTGATCCGCAGGCTTCTCTCGGCCAAGGTCTTCTGCTGTTGATACCTGCATCCGGTTGCATCCTCCAAGACGCAAGCGATCGCCCTTCTCCGAGAATGATATGGCGGTTGTCAAAATTGGGTACCCAAAAATTCAAGCCAGGTAAACGGAACCTAGGACTCAAATCTGCAGTTTCCGGGTCCTTCTGGTTGAATTTTGACCGATATGACAAAACTCATGGCATGGCGGTCATCTGTGCGGCATGTTTCAAGGGGTCCACACTACACTGAAAGTTGGAAGATGTCCACGAAAAAGGTCCGCTTCCGTTGCAGAGCCATGGGCGTCTTCCATATCAAAAGGAACCGTATTCCATGTCAAAGGTCAAAGGAAGCTAAACAAAAGCTGATCATGAAGGGGGCTGAACTTTGACTCTTAGCCCAAGGGTCAATATCCCTTTTGGTGCATCTTTCTTCTCGTTGGAAGCCGGGCAGCGGCCAGACAAGAACAAATCAAAGAACAAGACTCTTCCTGCTGGTGCTCAGTAGGGAATGTGGGAATGAACCCGGATTCCCGAAAGGAACCCATATGGGTATGGGTCAACATTAAACCACCAGGGGACCGCCGCTTTTGTTCTTGTCTCCATTTGCCAGGGTTCCAGATTGGGTACCGATTTTTGACCCACAGCCTATAGGGGGGCATTCCCTCCTTCCCTGCTGCGCACCAGCGAGTCCTTTCGGGCGAAGCTCCGCCTGCCGAGGTTGCCTGCACCATGGGCCAGCGTCCCCAGGGCCTGGCGTGCCCGCCAGGCACAAGCATTGCCCATGGCACTAACCCGGTTTTTGGTCCCCAGTGTCGCCAGATGAGATGGTGGGTGGGTGGTGGGGCTGGGGTGCGCGGGGTGACTGGGATTTGAGCCCCTGGAGGTGCAACCCAAAAAAGAAGGCCCTGCCTCCAACTGGCTCTGAAGTGAACATTTCGAGGGGTTCTCAAACTCATTTTTTGGGGGTTCCCTTTACCATTTAGACCACTTAGAAGAACCTTTCAAGGATGTCACATCCCAACTGCCCCAGTTTCCAAAACCAGCCGGTCCTCTGCCACCAGGACATGGTTCTCCCCGAAGTTGGTCTCCAGGATGCCCAAACTGCGCTCGGCAGCGTCAAAGCCGGCCTGAGCTTCAGCGGTGGCAAATACAAGGACTTCTTCTCGTATACATCCCAAACCCACGCATTACAAGGAATCTTTAAAATCTGCGATTTTGTAGCAGTGAATTTTGAACTGGAATGTATGTGGTTGGCTTTGTTTAAACTAAAGTCCAGAAGGACACCAAACACTTGAGAGGGTCTCTGGCATTCGTGCGTTCCCACACAGCTCTTGGATACATTTAAGCGCCTGTCTAGTCAGGGGTCCTGTCCTGTGCCTGCCACGGTTGACAAGGACTACAACCAAGGAAATCCATACATTTGCCCACGCATCTAAGAACCGAATTCATCAAAATCTTTCAGCGTTTGTCTCAAAATAAAGCAACCCAACGGCTGGTTCCCTGTTGGTTTCCCTTTACGACCAACCAAAAGGGGGGTGCTCCTCCCAAAGAAGATACAGCCATAGGTATCCCCCCAAAAAGCTCCTTGCTTGTAGGGCCTTCCCTATATTTCCCCGGGCCATCAACCATCAAAAGGACAGCTCACACATGTGACCAGCAAACCTTTGTCTTGCAGGGAGAACAAAAGGAAACCTGCTGAACATCTGGCAGCCAAAAGGTGAGGATAAATGTCACATCTCTTCAGACCCAAAGTTGGTGGACCCCTGCAGCCGCAAAGCTGGCGTCACGGTTCCCTCCCGGCCCGGTGGCCTGGTACTGTCCAGAGCTGGCATGTGCGTGCGCCAGGACTCTCCAGGCAGCAGCCGTCTTTACCTGGGGATTGGTCCAAGGAGATGGCTTCCTGTGCTTCCCTCTGGACCCATCCAACAGGGACCCTCAACATCGGCGAAAACACCCACCTTACCCAGTCCGGGCGAGTTCTTGGGTCTGTGCTGTGTCCGCAACCCCCGGTTATGGAGGCATGATCATGGCTCTTGTTGTGGGTTTTGTTTTATCCAAAACCAATAATAATTGTCAAAGACACTGCTGATTGCCGTGACTTTGCATCGGACGCCACATGCACCAATGATGCTGAGCTGAGCATGGAACAAGCACACGTAAACAAAACAAACGGACATGGCACTGAACACTGAGCCTATGAACATTCCCAAGGAGCTTTTGCTCGTTACCTCAATTTGTGAAAACGTCAAGGTCCCCCCCTATTCAAGTGTGAACACTCTTTTGAAATTTGTCGTACCCACAAGCAGGATCTGCCTTCCAACCGGAAAACAGGGGGTCCTCTACTAAAGGGGCAGTGTCTGTTTGGCTTTCTTCGAACTTCGAATTGTCCAGCACATTTTTACATTCTCGTCCAGTGTAGAAATCCTCTGAACGCCTGGTATGTTGCAACAAAGAAAGAATGAACAAAGACTTCCCAGCCTGGGTGTCTGAAAGGGCGCCTTCTGTGATACCAATGTGGTAGAGCACCCATTTACAAAATGAAGCATTGCACATGTAGAGAATGGCCTTTTTAAGGCACCCAAGTGTCAACACCCATTTTCCGCCCTCTCAATGAGCACCCCGTCCCCCCCCCAACCAAAAACAAAATACCTTGACAGGACTCTTTCATAAAAGCAAAAGCTCCTGCCGGCTCCCCCCCCCCCCAAAAAAAAAAAAAAAAAAAAAACATAGAGCAAAAGCTCGCCTTTCCAAGAGAATCCCAAATCCTAGGGACCCCGTTGCCCATCCCCATCCCCATTCCCACCTAGGCAAGCCCTTCCCACCGAGCGGCGTGGTCTTCGCCCAAAACGTCCCGGGTGCCAGCGAGCGCTTGCTGGGCCAGGCTCAGCTGCTCCTTGCAACGGGCGAGCGAGACCTCGCTTGGGCCCAGCCCTTTGTTGGTGGGTTTGAAACGGAAACGAGACCGAGAAGCGCTTTTTTTGGGGGTCCCCCGAAAGAACGCCGAAAGAAGCACACAAACATTTGGCCTTTTGTTGGCCTTTTGTTGGCCTTTTGTTGGCCTTTTGCTAGCAAAGCCGCTTGCAGCAATTGGCCCCCCCACAACAACCCCCGAATCGCTCGGGTGAAACCTAGGCCGCAGGCCTCGCACTGTGACCCCATGGGGTGCCCTCAAGTCCACTAGCCTGGGCTGGCCGTTGTTAGAGGCCCTAAAAGTGACCAACCTCCAGTGGGTCAAATGGAAACCCCAACCACTAAACTAAACAGAAACAACTAAAACGCGTCTGGGAACCGGATGTCTGGGAACCGCCAAGTCACATGCTTGGGCCATGTTCCTTTGAAAATCCCTCTGGTAGGTTTCATGTTAGCGGACCAAAGGGTAAACGTTTTAAGTTGCGTCGGTCAAAAAGCTACGCAGTCAAAGAAGTGATGCACAGAGCCCCTTTCAAAGAGGAAGGTTCTCTACAGGAGTCTGTGCACCAAACCATGGAATCGTCAGTGGGAGGGCGCTGTCAAACTGGTGGGTTCCAGCTCAAACCATGAAATGGATGCAAAACCTTTTGAACCTTGCCCCAGAATACTCACTCAGCCTCCCACCTAACCTGGAAGTGCACAAAGCCCCTTTCAAAGAGGGAGGTTCTCTTTCTGGAGTGCTCTGTCTTCACCAAACCCCTGGAATCGTCGGGAGAACTCGGGGAGTGGGCGTCAACGTCTCTCCTGGTACTGTCCCAAGCTGCCCAGGGCGATGGAGAGGTTCCCCAGTGTGCTGGCCACCTTCGGGTTCCCAGGACGTGGAGTTGGGCTCAACGTTTGGGGACCCCAGGTCCGGATTCCTGTTGGTCTCCAAAACAAGACCGGACCACCAGGTGGATTCCTTTTGGTCTTCCTTGTAAGACCATCCAAAAAGGGGCTCCGATTCCGATTTTGAGAAACGCAAATGGGGAAACTCTTCATGAGGTGAACCGGACTGGCTGACTTTGGATGTTTCGACGTTGTGGGCACAAGTAGCTTCACCAGCCTGCCTGCCAAACCATCTGCATTGGTAATGTAATGTGGGTCACTTGGAATTAAGGCCCCCGCCAAATTGGGGGAACCCTGTTAAGAAAACCCGAGAAATAAAACTAGGGGGCCAGATTGGCCTCCCAAGTTTAGTACTGGTTCAGTATTGGCTAGTATTGGTTTAGTATTGGTTTAGTGTTGCTTTTGTTGTGGCTTGGTACTGTGCTTGTGTCAAACTGGAGGAACTGAATTTCTCGGGTGGCTCAGACTCAGTGTGAAGATCCTGATCCGGATTTGTCCAAACAAACAAACATTGCATTGCGTACCCAGTTTTCATGTTATAGGGTAGGGAATCATTTCGGCAACACTTATTGTATCTGGTACCCTTTGATGATATCGGGTAGCAACAGTACACGCAAGCTGCAGCTTTCTAAGTCCTTCCACTCAAGAGCAAGACCAACACTGCTCTCAAAACAAAGACACTACGAAATGCCCGCCTCCAAACATCAGCGGAGGGGATACGCATATCCAAGCATTTTTCAAGCTGCAATCTCGTCTTCCTTAGGAACACCTCTGCCTTGGCTCAGCAATCTGGCCGATGTTTCAACAAAGTGAGCACAAATCATACCCTGAAAGCAGCACACCTGCTCGAAAAAATCCACCACAGACCTGCGTGAAGGTACTGAAAGAACGAGAACCTCAGATTGAACAGCACCGCAATAACTCAACTTCTCTTCCCCCCACCAAAAGGGGAACCGCCGTCACGCGAAAATCCCGCGCTTCTTCGTCCGGAGGTGTGTGTCTGGTAGGCAATTGGTGTTCCCCTAGCTTTCTCTTGCAAGCGACTCTCAAATTCCGCGCGGGCCCCGCACACAAAGGGGGGCACGTCGGGACGCCAAATGCTTCGGTACTGAGCTCACTATTGGTGAGCTCAAAAGTGAAAGAAAGGACATCAAAACTAGTTCCTCCAGTAGAGAGGTTAGAATAAGGGCACTTTTTTTTCTTCTGTATTTTAGTAGGGCAACCCTCCCCACCAAAAAAGAAACGGTAAAAGTTGGCAGCTGGGGACCTAGAAAAGGAAACCAATCATTTGCTTGGCAATGGCCAAAAATTCGAGCAGATCAGGTGCCTGCCTGCCTCCACATGGCCAGCGCCAAAGTCTCGCTGCAGAATCGCCAGCGCCCGCAAGAGCAACTCCTTCTGCCTGACACCGGTTTCTGGGCACTGATCGACCAAATCAGTATGGTGTTTCTGATCAACCAAATATCATCAGTATCACGCCTTACTCCTCCATGTTCAGCCCCCTCAAGTTTGTGTTATGAATGTCCTTTGGAACCTCACGCTTACTCCTCTGTTCAGTGAATGTCCCATATCGGAAGTCAAAGCCAAACAACTCACTTGCCAAACCTCTAGCCAAAGGTCCTGGTGAGCTGGACTTCGAAACCCAAAAGTCACTGAGAAAAGGGGCCCGCAAGTCTGAAAGGCCCCGTGCGATGCCAAGCCCTCCCCCCGCCAAAAAAAACCAAAACAACAACAACATGAATTAACAAAGAACATGTTAGGTCACCTTCTACATCATCCTGGAGGAAAAACAAAACAAACATTTGTGACAACTGCCCAACCTTAACCTGTCAGCTTGGCCTTTGTGCGGCTCTTTTGGCCACCTTACTCCCTTTTGGTAAAGAACCCCAGGACAAAAAATCCAGTAGTGATAAATTCCTTTAACACCAACAAGGGAAAAGCCCTGGAAAAAAAGAAAGTTTCCAGTAGTGATAAATTCCTGTTAAGGGAAATTCAACCATATTCTTAAGCACACGGAAGCTCACGGAAGTTTTTTTTCGCGGGCTGCGAGCACTCCACGGCCGCGGCTCGAAACGCGAGCGTGCCAGCAAATGAACCGCCTTCGAAACGGGCGAAAGTGTGCGTGAGAGGGGGGCAACCTAAGATAGTCAGAGGTTCCCCCATGTGAGCATTGTTTTTTTAGAGGTTCAGGGCTTATACACTGCTGGGGAGGCTACGCGGGGGGCTTCGCGGGGCCAGAATTTGTGGAAGGGTTGGCTTCGCGAGGCTTCGCGGCAAGAGTGTGGCTTCGCGGAGTGGCTTCGCCGGGCTTCGCGGATGTTTGTCCCACAAACATCTCTGACGTTTGCGCTCCCATGTTGCTGAATCAAGTTGAGTCCATGCGAAAGGGGGCGATGAAAGGCGGCAAGAGAGGCATTGAGCTCAGGACTAGGGGACATGGCTGAGCCTCAAAGGGGCGGAGCATGGAAGTTGGGCCGCGGTGGCTTCGCGGTGGCTTCGCGGAGGCTTCGCGGGGGCTTCGCGGGGGCTTCGCAGAGGCTCCGCGAAAACGTTCCATCGTTTCTAGCAACCGGGCCTGAAACGCACAGTGCTCTTCCGGTCGTCTTCCCGCAATCTTCCTGTAATCTTGTCGTAGCCTGCTGACTCTAAACATCAACCTTTGGAATACTACTGCCATGAAAGCGCACAACACACTTGCCATGAAAGCACGCAACACACTCAAACCACGAAGTGGCTTCGCGAAGTGGCTTCGCCTGTGTCAATGTTACCGGGCTACGCGAAGTGGCTTCGCGGGGCTTCGCGGTACACAATGTATCACACAAGTGCCTTCGCGGACCTTTTGGGAGTTCCCCACGAAGCTAAAATCCATCATCTGAGAAAAAAACGCTGCTCATGTGGCTGTGGCAACCAAAAAACTGGAATTCCAACATGGCGCAAGCCCTGGCGAGTGGAAAAACATGGAAACCAAAACCTGCGGGAACCGCCCCTCCGATCGTAGTTTGAGGTTTTTTTTCATGTCAGTCATACCCACCACCGCACGGTACTAAAATGGTCGTAATCCCAGAAGCATGTAAAGACTTGACAGGGCGGCGAAGGCACCGTTTGATGGCACCCGAATCGGTTTTGAGGACGTGGCTCATGTAGACAAACCCGGGCTGTCCGTTTTCTGATCCCCGGCTAAGAGTGAATCACTTTTAGCGGGTTAAATGGAAACCCAACCACAAAAGAAACTAAAAACCTACAAACAACCCCTTGCTGTCCTCAGATCCCCCTTAAAAGTTTAACTTAAATGGAATCCCCACTAAACACTCAATGGCCAAAAAGCTCAGGAACCGGATGGCTGGGGTTCCCAGAAGAAGAACCTGAGGAGCCGGATGATTTTGTCTGGGAACCGCCAGGTTTTTTGAGCCAAGGTGCCCCTTGTAGTCCCCCAAGTGTCCGAAGCTCTCTGCCAAGCTCCGCAGAGCCACGGCGGTGTTGATGTGCTCCTTGCCGAATTCCTCAGCGCAATGACCGAGCGATCTGGCGCCGGTAGAATGGGGTAGACATGGAAAACCCATGCCTTAGGTCGGTTCAGGGGAAATACCAAATGATTGGTTTTGTTAAACACTTGGATACGCCGACACCTCCATGTGAAGGATCAATTCAGGAACTTTGCCGCAAATATCAAGCAGGTAGAAAGCATCGAGCTACCTTTCGGTCCCACCGAAAATGCATCAAAACAATGTACAAAGGCAAGCTAAAGCACAACGAGGATAGCCTCATGTTCGGTTTCAATGAGTTTCCCCGGAGATCCCCATCTTGGTGCAAGTGCTTCTGATGCTGGCAACGCTGAACCTGAGTGAGCCTAGGTACATGTAAATCACTCTGATCAAACCCACCACATTGTGTGACATGTGTTTGGGCCAAAGAACAAAAAAACGCAGCGGAATCTTTCAGGTGCTCCGGTATCCTTCTACCTACGAAGGGGACGCCCACCGCAAAAAAGCGACGCCCAACTGGACACCCCAAAAAGGCGAGGCGCGGCTTCCTTGATGGCGAGGGCCCGCTGCAGCAGCTGCCGCTGGACCTCGCTCGAAACTTTTGGGGAGTTGAAGCACCTGGGAACCTTCAAACCAAAAACACGGTGGTTTCCCTTGGCGTCCAAGGTGTGCAGCTAAGCAAGGCATACGAGGCGGAAGACTCAAAAAGCCTTGAAACTTGGCGTCCAACATGAAAACAAACAACAAGGCGGAACTTGACGTCCCACATGAAAACAAAAAAACCAGGCGGAACACGCAAAGAAGAAACACCACACGCAGACACAGAGAGCTATTGGGCCCACGACATTCCGCCTGAATGCCTGCCATGGCCCACACGCTACGGCAGCCCCTTGACTGCGCACCTGGTAGTTGCCCTCGTGGCCATAAGCACTGGCCAGATTCACCAGCGCCACTGAGGTGTTCACGTGGTCGGGCCCGAAGTGCCGCTCCTCTACGCCAAAACGCAAAGGCAAACAAAAATCGGAGCTCCCATGTGGGGCATCTCAATAAAAAAGGAACCTCTGGGTTGCCAGAAAAAAACAAGAACGAGGTCCAGAAGCATCCCTACCAACCTTAAAACTAAGGGGTGCGTTCCATGACACAGTGGGTGCGTTCCATGGCACAGTTGGCAGGCGAGTGAAAATTGTGACTGTGAAATGGCCTGAGAATCATAACACACCCACCCTGCTTCATGCGCGGAGGTTCCCGGACCCTGTTCCTTCCTGAGGATTCTATCAGGAGGCTTCCAATTTGTTGGTTTTCTCCATGTCCTGCTCAGCCTGAGGATTAATTGAGCAGCCCCCAAAAAACCCAGGTCTATCAAGACTCCAAGCTTCGCCAAAAAGAGTCGGAAACTACAAATCGGAGACCCCCAAAGCTGGCTGGCATCCCTCACATCGTTTCATCTGATCCGCGGCATCGCATCAGCTGATATGACCTGATCCAACATCCACAATGGAATACGATGACTGGATTGCACAAGGGGTTGACACAGTATTCTCTGCGATGTCCTTCGTTTTGGTTTTTTTCTATAAATAATCAGCACTAACCACATGTCGGACAGTCGTCAGGATGGTTCTCCTCCCCTAAAACATCCGAAGCTAACTCACCTTAGTCAGCAAAGGTCGACCAAGACTAGTCAACCAGGTGACATAGCAGATGTTCTCCAGGGATCTTGACTGGGACCCCCATGGTATCACAAAATGGCAACTTGAGGCCCCATTTCCCACATCCATGTCATGGGGGCCGAAAAGCCCAAGCCCTGTTTACCTCCAGAAACCAACCACATGTTCTTTTTCACTTCTGGGATCACATCGCAAAGTGGCTTGGGCTTCGCCCGTTTCCCAGACGTTCAGATGTGGATGGACGAAATCCTGCACCAAGATGAAACCACGGGAAAGCATTGCTTGTTGGCATTTGCAGGGGAATCACCAGAAACCAGGGTGTTTGAGGTGCTGCGAAATGGATTTCGCAACCATTTACAGCATCACCAAGCGGATCCCCGAAAAGAAAAAAAAAAAAAAAAAAAAAAAACGGAAAACCAGATCCGGCCCATGAGTCCTTGATCTCCCCGGCTCGCCGCAGCAGCTTGCGCTGCAGCCCGTAGTCCCCCAGGTTCCCATAGGCATCCGCCAAGTTGACCATGGTGGTGGCCGTGTTTGCGTGGTCCTAAGCAAAACAGACACCTTGTGGATGAATGGGCTGGGGACCTAACAAACCACTGGTGGATTTTTCTGGGGTGGTTGGGTGGGGGGGGGGCGAACAAAAGAATACTTGGAGAATGGAAGATATGTCTGGCTTTCCTCTGGCTTTCTCAAATGCGCCAGCCCCTTCACCGAGTTCCCACAAAGCTTCAA